TTGAAGAATCGACACGGACCGTGTTGAATTCGACACAGCCGTGTTGTGTCCGTGCTGAAAAAAGTGAAGTTTTGCTCAGAGAATTGACACGGACCGTGTTGTCATTCGACACGGTCGTGTTGATTCAAACTCGTCCGTGTTCAGTCCATGTCTAAAGTGCAGATTTTTAACAGAGAATTGACGCGGACCGTGTTGCATTCGACACGGCCGTGTTGCATTACGGGAAAACTTCCTATTTTGCATCCGCACCTCCGTTTTCAGCAAAGAAAGAAACCGAGCCACCAAGGGAATAAAGAGAGGACGTCTTAGACTTCAGAAATCATCGAGAGATCACAGCAGAAGCCAGAGAGCTCGAGAGAGAATCAAGACGGAGTTTCCCGGGAGCAGAGATTGAAGAATCGTCGTCGAGAGATCGCTGCGAGTCTTCTTTATCTGTTTCTATGTTTTTTCTTATTGATTTGAACTCGTTTGTTGTTATGGGTAGTGAGTAATCGTTTCACTGTAGCTAAGGATTTAAACTTGTAGGAATTTGTTTGGTTTTTATTTTCGAAACTACGTTATCGATACTCGGCGGTTTAATTGAATTGAGTTTATTGCTTTTGATCTTCTTGGCCTGTTGATTGATTGATCTTAGATTCTGATTTACAACGAGAGTTGGAATTAGATTCGGAAAGAATTCATTGAATGAATTGATTAAGACTATTGAAAGATAAGTTGATCGATTTAGAAACTGTGATAGTGATCGTTAATGCATTTGATATTTTAATCTATTAGGTTGAGAGATCGATAGATTAAATTATTGGATAGTGGATTTATGACTTGAGAGAACCAAATCTGATATTAGAACTTGAGATTTTCGATTAGAGTTCGATATTCGTAGATTCTCCATCCTTAGAAACAATCTCTGCGCGTTAAGGTTATCCCGAAGCTACGGTGATTTATCTATCTGATTTTACTTAGTTAGTTTATTGCTTTATTTTCGATATTCACATACTTCATTCCATATTTCCTGATCTAATTCTTGGTTGAGTCTTGTTCCTAGAGTTAACTATTCTCTATGTTCGACCCTAGTACTACAGTTGATCCGTATCCTTGCGGTATTCGCTGTATCTAGGTTTTTATCACTTCAGCACTATGAACACTTTAACTCTCAAAGTTGAAAATCAGAACATGTCCAAACTAGACACAAGATTTTCATGATGCATAGCTACACATGATCTATGTCGTTAGATAAAATGGTGTAACGTGATCTTGTAAGGTTTAGTCGTGCGCTAATGCAACGAAAGCCGCTTTGGTCCTTGCATTACATATTCAATGAACGAGATTGTTAAAGTGTTCATAAAGAATAAACAATTTATGAGCTCACTAAATAAAATTCATATTCAAGATATTCGACCAAGTGAGAGATTGTTAGAAATTCTCTAACAGCTATATTTTGGTTTAATATCATAATCAATATATGGTGTAACTGTTGTTTAATGTGAATAATTGTAGAAGATTATGATCATTAATTACATGTGGTCGAATATGCAAATACAAAAAATATAGAGACAAATAATTATGCAGATACTATGTAGTGTAATTTCATAATTCTTTATGGATGGATTTGAAAATTACACAAACTTATTACTATAAATAGTGGTAGTGGTCTCTAGACTAAATATTTTTTTACGTTCTAAACTAGAAGAACTATACTAACACTCTGTCATTTGTCAACTACTATGACATAGGTGGATTTTTTTATATGAATTTTGTTCTTTCATCGAATATGGCTTTCCACATAATTCTATATGTATCTATGAAATCAAGTATGAAATTCTATTTACTCACTTTGAAATTGAGTGTCACAGAATTATTCTTTGTGAGGTATGCATGATGATTGATCTAAAAAGATTATATATTCTGCATTTTATAATATAGTATTTCTATCATTTTAAGCTTTAAATTCGTACTATATTAGTTTTGATTTAAATCAAAGCACCATGTATTTGTTATATTCGTATTCCTCTGATTCGTCCAATAAAATTTATCTAAAATATATAACTCAATCAATTATGTTTCTATCTTTATATATCGATTTATAATACTATTTTCTTTTTAAAAAACAAGGTCTCAATCACTCTTGGAAATCAACCTGAAAAATACCAGTAATTGTAAATTTGATATTTATACTAACCAGTTCACAAACAAACCAATTTGAAAATTAATTATTTTTTGTGTGTAAAATTGTGTTACCATAACCAAACTTCAAATTGAGGTGTAAAGCATAATTTAATCATATATTTCTAGTTACGACTAGACCAGACAGATATTCTCCCGTTCGTGCTTGATACATATGGTACGATTCTAATATATACTTTGAATAAAATTACGAACATAAATAATACATAAAGGCCCATACGGAGACTATTTTCTAGGTCCAATATCATATAATATAATAATATGTAACAATATTAGAGATTTCGGTCCACGTATGTGTAGAACTTCGCCCGAAAATGGCCCATAAATCCAAATAGACCGAAAGAATTAAATAATTAAATTTTGTGAGACTAATTTGCTGAGCAAAGCATATGTCAGTCTACACCAAATTGTGTTCGTGGGATCGCTTGCCTTTTGGTTTCGAATATATAATGGAATTAAATTTAAAATGAATTTGATTTTAAAATTTACTGTCAAATATTATTTTAATTAAATTATTTGAATGTAATACAGAAATAACTGAAAACCCGAATAAAAGGTAGATTATTTTTAAAATATGTTTTCTATGAAAAATATAATACAAAATTATAACATCGATATAAAGAGAACCATAAATAATCGAATAAAAATGTAATAGTAAGTGAACTAAAGATGTCGGTCGCACTTTTGAAATTCTTATTTTCATTTAAAAAAAATACAAACTTCGTAAGCCAATATATGGATATATGCTTTTACAAACAAACACGGATTAGGCAGGATTCAAATCAAAATTAACGAGTTATAATATTAATTCCAAATAAATTCCGCAATCGCTTTTATTAATCCACCGATTTCTTTGGAGCTCGGCTTTAAAAGCCGGCCGCGTAAATGACTTCACTGGTTACACGGTTTCATTAACAAAAATCAAAGCATTGAAAATAAACCGGAAAAAATAGATAAATAAATAAATAAACAAAAAATAGGAATCGGTGACACCTAAGGAATATAGAGTGAAGTGGCGGAGCAAATTATGCCGTTGGTCTTACCGCAATGGTCGGTCCACTTATTATTATTATTATTATTATTACGCGTCACGTATATGTCTCATGCGAACTCCATCAATTACAGAATTAACATTCTATAATTAGTTATATAAGATTGGCCTTATATCATATGATTAGGTACATAAATGCAAAAAAATTAGCTGTAGCATAGATTGATAAAAATATGGACGAGTGTTACTTTAATTAACGAATAATAAAATAATCAATGGACAGACTAATACTCTAATATTAGCGGACCACGATTTACAAGTTCTGGTTGTTTAACAGACAATTAATTAATTAATTAGCTGATAGTTTATTAATTAATTATAATGATTAAGTGTGATGGTCAACTTGTTAGAAAACCATGTAGAGAGAGAGAGAGAGAGAGTGAGAGTGACAACAAATGTGAACTGCCACTATGAACACCAAACACACCATCTCTTCACTTAGTTCACATGCATTTGCTTAAAAATGTCCAAATTTTTAATAAATTAATTAGTTAATTAATATTTTATACTTCTAAATTAATCTGTATATAACCACGATTTGGTTGATGATTATCGAATTTTTATAACGTAAATGTAAATCACAGCACATGAATTCATTAGTTAAATAACTTAGATTCGATCGAATTAATAACGTATAATATAATATAATCCATCCATTTTTTTTTCAGAAATTAAAGTGGACGGAAAGCAGATGGAGAGTAAGGGGACACGTGTACGGTGCAAAATCACTATGGTGTGTGGTGAAAAAAGGGGTGCACACTTCGTTTAGTTTTATTGGGCTCGACTGTTTTTATATGGATTCGATTTTTTATGGTTAAAAATGTTCATTATTATTACATTATTGATTTAGATTTATATTTTTAAATATTATATATATATATATATATATATTCGATGTTTATGTCAAATTTGGTTTATATATCATTGGCCATATATGGATCAAATCAAACCAACGAAATTATTCTTCAATTAGTATGATTTTATCTATTATATAATCTCGACACTTGATATGATAAGGTGTCATGTGGCGGCGGGGGCATTTTCTTTTATTAAATAAGATAATCAATAAATGACACGTGTCATTTGTAATCGCTCGTGTTGCGTTTTGGTCGCACATTCTTATCCACTCCATGACCTCATCTCAATCGCTCTCCCCGTTTTGTCCCGAACCGAAAACCATAACCTTCACAACGGTCCACCGATTTTCATTTTTTTTTTCAATTTTTTGTAACACGAATTGCTCGTGTCTACTGCAAATATGCGGATACGAAAAAAATAATATAAAATATATAAAAGATTAAATAAGGTTATATCTTCATTTAAGAGATCAAATACAAAGATATTGTGTGATGATTCTCTGCATTCTTCCATAGATCTTCAAACTATAAGAGACTTTAATTAAATTAGATAAATTTTGACCATTTTTTAACAAAAATTTATATAATTATCATCGACTAAGGTAACTTGTGATAACATGAATTCGATCGTATTAAGTTTTAAGGTTCTTTGTATGTGAGCTTATTTTATTAAATTAAAATTTAAAACAAAAACAGTATAGCTTTTGTTTGTGTTTTCCTCATTGGAGTTGGAGTTGCTTACACATCATGATAAAAACCAAATGGCTTTCAGTGTTGTCATCGCCAATCAATTCCTCACGCGCTTATCCGCGCGTGTTTCTCATGCACGTTGGACCGTCGTTTTTCTGTGTTACGGTTTTGTGATTTTGCTATTGGATTTGGAAGCTTAATCTATGAACCGAGATGACGAATTCAATTGAATTCCAAACTAATCGATGCAATTTTTTTTTTATGTACAAAAAAGAATATCTTATGACGACAATAACCCAAAATAACAAAAATGAAACCAAACGAAATCAATCTGAAATCTAAAAATCTAAACAAAAAAAAAACGAAAACCCTTTTTCGATATCTCCATGATGAATCGTGTGGCTTCAGAGTTGGAAAACCAGGCGAGGCTTCTTCGCCGGCATCGGGCTGATGACCTCGTCCACGTCGCCGGAGACGAAGAAATCCTCGGCGGCGAACTCCGGCATCGCCGGAAAGTTCAGGTCAAACTCACGGTGGCTCTGTTGGCTGACGTGGCTACTCGACCCAACACCCTCCGATGACGTCACAACGCTCTGGTTCCCAACCGCCGCAACGCTAACGCTGTTTCCGCCGTCGTAGTGGCAGCGGTTGTTGCCGCCCAGTGCTTGACCTGTGGGGAACGACTTGTTGCAGATCGAGCAGACGTGGGGCTTCCCGCCACGGCTTACACCGCCGCCGCCGCCGCTCGCCGTGGCGGGGGGGGGGG